AGAGAGACCTTCCCCATCGCCACCTCCTCCGCCCCTGGGTGTTTCTGGAGAGGCTGGAGGTAGTAGTAAAACTCCCGTGGGCAGAAGGAAAGCTCGGATGTGGCTCCGGTGCCCCACTCCGTGTGCCATGAGAGAGAAGAGGGTGAGGAACAAAGAAGCAGGGAGCTGGGGGGGGATGCCACCTCTGCTCCCCAGGAGAGAGGGGTCGGAGGCACGCCCCGCCTCTAGGCAGTTACATGCTCGGCTTTCTAATTCTGCAAAATGGACGGGCTTAAACCAGACAACCGCAGCCCTGGAAACGCGCAGTTCCAAATATCTGGGAGGTGAGTTCCTCAAGAAGGAGCCTCGGACATGCGCTTGGTGGTGCGTGATGGGGAGGCCACATCTCCCATCACTGCAGCCTGTGGAGGCAATGGGAGTGCCAGGGTGTAGGGTCCCGGGCGTTTATTATCTAGAGGCCTCGTCACTCGGGGGTAATCAGGGATGCTGTGTGCTGCCGTCTTAATAGGTTTGTAAACCCTCCTTCACGGTTCATTAACACGGCAGACAACAGGGAGGAGGTCGTAAAGCACAGCGCTTCCCTGCACGGAGCTGTGCACGGAGCTGATGAATCAGCCGGCTTGCTTCACCGCATCAACAACATGGCAGAGAAGCTCCGAGCGAAACTCACAACTGCCCGGCCTGCGTGGCTCAGGGTGGAGCGTCGACCTAGGAACCAGGAGGTCACGGTTCGATTCCCCGCTCAGGGCACATGCCTGGGTTGTGGGTTCCGTCCCCAGTAGCAGCAGCTAACAATGATGCTCTCTCATCATCGATGTTTCCCGTGCTCGCTCACTCGCTCGTTCTCTCTCTCTCTCTCTCTCTCTCTCTCTCTCTCTCTCTCTCTCTTCCTTCCTCTCTGAAATCATTAAAAATAAATTTAAAAAAATAAACACACAACTAGCCACACCTGGCCAGTAGCTTCCTGACACAGGAATGACACTAACCATGACTCATCCTTCGAACTACGTAGCTGACTGTTCTGCATCTCCATGTAAAGAATTTGCACAAATATAAATATTTACAAGTCTGCTCTATCCTCTACAAATAAGTGTTAAGCCTTGATTACAAGCTGTCTTTTATAAAACAACAACAACAACAACAACACCACCTATTGGTGTGTGTGAAAGACACATTCGTAGCATTTCATCCTTGGGGGTACTCACACTTTCGTGAAAGTTGGCAGGAACCGTTATAAGCTTGTGTAATGCATCTGCAGTTCACAAGGAGAAGAGATGGCGACTGCTCTGCAGGATGGATCAGGGCGCTTCCCGACGCCGTTCAAACACAGGCCCGATGCCTGCGCCCGGTGCTCCTTCACTCCATAGGCCACACTTAATTAGGAGACAAAGGACGATTAAATAAGCCCCGACAGCCAGCCAGCCTGTGTGATCCTCGTTCTACCTCAGGCACAGCTGAGGGACCGGTGATTCCCTTTCCAGGGAAAGCAACGGGGAGACATCTGGCTCCTCCGAGGCCGGTCCTGATCGTTGAGATGAACTCCCCTCCGGGAACATGGCTGCAGACCAGGGAGAGGCGGCCGGTGGAGTGGGGAGGGGAGGGGAGGGGAGGCCCGGTGGCACACGCAGAGTCCTCGGGGTTCCGCGTGGCACCGGGGGGAACCCCCTCAGAGCACACCGGGTGATCAAGGCCAGTTCGCCACCCACACGCGTGCAGGCGAGGCCAGAGCAGTGCCACCAGGCGAAAGGCCCCTTTGCCCTTCACAGGTGCGAGCGCAGTGACTCAGCGGCAAACACGCTCTGCCCAGGCGCACCCTTGGGGGGCCTGCTGATGGCGACGTGGCAGGAGAGTCACTGTGCGGCACGGGGCCTCCTTTGTGGGAGCCTGTGGACAAGGTGCCACCGGTCAGCCGTGGGCGGCTGCTTTGTGGGAAGAACTCCTGGGTCTGATGGCTCCTACAGTAGCAGTGGCTGCTCCGTCTACAATAAATAGTCTCTCCTGTCTGCCTGTGGCTTCTCATGTCTCCATCCTCACCTGGCATCAGAGGACCCGTGCTCCCACAGGCGCCCTGCAGTCTCAGGTGCCCCTACCTGGCACGCACACTCCAGGCCCCTACACTGACCCGTGAGTACAGTGGAGGCCTCCACAGCAAGCTCCGGGCCCCGCCCCGCTGGCCAGTTGGAGGGGCCCCTTGTTTCCCAGAGGCAAACAGGGTAGACCCCTCCCAGGAAGTGTTCAGAGAGCACTTCCTGGCCCTGCCCCAGACCCACGAGAGCAGAACCCGGATTTTCCTGGGATGCCCAATAGTTGGCCATATGTCCCTCTCGTCACACTCCCCTGGGGGGATGACTGCTCCGCCAGAGGCTTTACCCCTGGTGATGGTCTGGGTGGCGGTAACAAGCACCCCCTTGTCTCTTACTAACCTCAGGACTCCTGCTCCTGTCCCTGGGAGGCACCTCACAGCCCCCTGTACCTAATCCATCAACTTTATTGCTTAAATAAACTATAATTTTATTTCCGAATGATTTCTGTGCCCCACGGGGCATGGACGTACATACAGATGGAGGCATATCCATGTCAGGGGGAGTTTGAAAGTCAGAGTCACTTGTTGGGGTTTTAAGGGTGATTCATGAGTCTCTGAGCAGACAGGAGCTACCACCCACGGGCAGCGGCCGAATTTATTTACAGGCAAAGCCGGCACACCAAGAGTGATGAGCTGTATTGTGCTGATAAATGGCAAGTTAAAAATAAAGGATGGGCAGAGAACTGTAGGTGGAGAGAAACTTAGGAGATAGATCAGATTTAAATAGAGGGGCGAGGCTGAGGCGTCTGAGGATGCATGTTTGGGTGAAAAAAAACAGCAGAAGTCAGAATGAGGGCTACTCATGGGGCAGGGAGGGAAAGAGCGAGTGAATGAGGCTGAGGCCAGTTAATGAAGGCTTACATTGGTGTTGTGCAGTCTTTCTGTAAGAGCCATTTATCCTATATAATAAAAGCATAATATTCTAAGTGTCCAATCAGACACTATGATGCTCACCGACCACCAGGGGCAGACACTGCTGGGGTCTGGCCGATGAGGACTGGGCGAGAGAGCTGGGCAAACCCTAGAGCCGCCCCCAGTCCCTCCCCAGCCAGCTGGCCAACCTCTGTGGCCGCTCCTGGGCCAGTCAGCCCCGATAGGCCCCGAACACCGGCCAGGCTGAGGGACCCAACCCGTTCATGAACTCGTGCACCGGGCCTCTAGTTTTTTTAGGAAAGTGTATAAATAGCAAAGCAAAGTCTGGGAGGAGAGTTTAGTTCTACCGCAAGCTGGTCTATCATTTTCTACGTCCCAGTACTAGTCAGAAACGAATCTTTTTTTCTATTTTTTCAAATGTATCACAAGGGTTGCTTAAAAGCTGGGTTCGAACCTCAAATCCAAAGAGAAAGTCTATGCAGGGCCCAGCAAATGGATGCCAATCTTTTTTTTTTTTTTTTTTTTAAACAAAACTTGTCAAAAATTGTACAAGTAGCTGCCATCAACCAAATAAAGTCAGCACAGACTCAATACCCTAATTCTACAAAGTGAATTTTCTGCTTCCCCTCTCCGCCCTCCCTCCCCACAGCTGCTGGGCCTCCAGCAGAGAGGGCATTGTCTCACACGCTGCATGCACTCAGTCCACAGGGTGTACAAACACTTCTTAAAATATCCTGTTAAAAAGAGAGAAGCGGAAAGTGGGCGGAAAAAAATATAACCAATCCGGGGCCCTTTCCATGTTCCTTTGGGCCACCCCACAATTCGTCAGGCACAGACGCATTTGGTTCGTTATAGATTTTATTAGAATGATAGAAAATAATACATACAGATAACCATAGGATACACACACAGAAATGTAAATATATATTTTTAACTTTTCAATATGAAACAATGTACACATCTCATGGAGATATCTTGCTAGAAACGCCATAGACACAGAGCAATGGTGTTGGACATGGGAGCCTAGGAACCGCTACGCCATAAAGAGGCGCCGCCCCAGCGCATGGAGTGCCACATACGGGAACCGGAGAGAGGCGGCCTCTGTTCTGACAGAAGGGGCCATGGTTAGATTTTCCTCGGTATTTACAGTATATACAGGCCTTGCAGACAAAGTGAGAAAGAGTCTTCTCCTTTGCGCAGGACGGCTTTATCTTAAATGTAAATTCTAACCGTAAAAGCACAGTTTTATGCTTTTTCTTATACATGAAACTATTGGCTTCAAATGCTGAGAATTCTGCAGAGAAGAACAAGTTTCTGCAAATGGTTAGGGGGAAAAAAGAGAGAGGTAAAAAATTGTTTTTGCCTCATCTACACTCCATCTGCGGGTGTCACGTTATTCCCTGCATAGTGCTCTGAAGGCTGGTCCGTGAGAAGCCTTTGAAAACCGCACACATCAGAGTCGGCGGCCTCGCCCGGTTCTGTGACAAATTTACCGCAGGAACTAAAAAGCCTGCTGGCTCTCTCAGATAGACGGCTGGATTTCATTAAACACACACACATACACACATACAAAACCCACGTCTCTGCCACCCAAAAAAGAGAGGGCCTCTTAAATGAAACCGGAAACTGGAGATGAAAAAATCGTGTGAATTTCCTTTCATGTGTGGGTTGAGAGTCAGGTCCTTCCTTCTTTGGCCCACGGTGTTTTAATAAAAGCTGCGAGCTTGTACCGGGGTGTGAAGGACACAAGTCATGCTTATTATTATTATTATTATTATTATTTTAATTTTTGAAAAGGATAAGGGGTGGCCCTTTCAATTTCACAGGGTTGTCAAATGGAACAAAAGCCCTTGCTGGAAGGGGCTGCAGGCTGGGCATCTACTGTCAACATATTTTCACCAAGGTCTGCACAGGGTGGGCGGACCTGCTCACACTTCTTTCCTCATCTGTCCCAATCCTTCCCGGGGCCAAGGCAGGTAAGGGGGCGGGGTGTGTGTGTGTGTGTGTGTGTGTGTGTGTGACCGTCCCATGGTTCATAGAAGAATCCCACCCCCTCCCTAGGACACTGGGGCCAAACCGCCCCCCTGGACTCCCTAGATCAGCATTTTCCAACCCTCCCTGGAACCCCATGCGCCCTCTTCAGAGCAGGGCGGTTTCTAAATGCGCTTCTGACCCTTTCAACAGAACACGGATCAAGTCCCCCAGACAGGGCCACTCTGACGGGGACCCTAACTGTTGGATTCAATGAAAGCTCAGTGAATGAAAGACACAGCAAACATACATGTGACCACGTGGGAGGATGGGAGTCTTTACCCACAGGCAGAGTGTAAAACCATCGCTTACAAACACCTATAGGGTGTCCCCCCCAAAATGTGTACACCCCTAAATGGCCCATAGCTCACTTTTGAAAACAAAATGTATTTTAATAAACACCGCCTTTAGAGTTATTCAACGTGTGTGTATACATTTTGGGGGGGACACCTATATATCAAAAGTCTAAAGTACATAATATATAAAGTCCTTTGGTTTATCAAGTATTAAGGCATCTCAGATTCCCCTAAAAGGATGTACTGTTTGCTTTTGAATTATATTTGCATTTTACCTACGTAGAAAGTTAAAAATACAGAGTTGGGGGGTGGGGGGAACAACCATGCATAATCACTGCATTTCGGGAAAGCACTGTTTTTTTGTCACCAATTAACTTGTAGTAAATGGTAGAAAAGAGTGGCTATCACCACAGGGCGTGAGCCATGAACAGGACCGCCGGCAGGCAGCGTGACACGGGGTAGGTGTTGGCGATGGCCGACGGGGAGCCCCTGGCATCCGAACCTGCCAAGGGAGAGAGTGCGGGTTAACACGGCTCCTGAATCACAGCCACGGCACAACCATGTATTCCTCTCAGAGCAGGAGGAATGTCATGATCAGCCACCTGCTGTTCACAGTGGGGCACATGTTAGCTGCCAACGCGATCTATGAACACACTGGTCTGTCTTCCTTCCTTCCTTCCTTCCTTCCTTTCCTTCTTTTCCTTCCTTTCCTTCCTTTCCCTCCCTCCCTCCCTCCCCTTTTTAAAGTATTTTTAAAATGAATATCAGAGAGAGGAAGGGAGAGGGAGAGAGAGACAGAAACATACATGATGAGAGAGAATCATGGATCAGCTGCTCCCTGACGCCCCCTACTGGGGAGCGAGCCTGCAACCAGGGCATATGTCCAGAGCGGGAATTGAACCTGTGACCTCCTGGTTCTTGGGTCCACGCTCAACCACTGAGCAACACCGGCCGGTCTGTATTTATGTTTCTTAAACAATTCTAGGCTTTGTTCAAACACTATCCCTTAACCGTCACTGAATCTGAGAACACAACTTAGTTTGGAGAACAGTGCTGCTCTCTGGCACACACCGTTGGGATAAACAGAGGGTCTCATCGGAGCAGGCAGCATAGGGCAAGCATGGGGTAGGGGAGGAGGGTGGGGATCCAAATGGATAGCCTTGCTGCCTATTTCCCCACGTCTTTTCTGTCCTCCTGTCTTATCCTTCCCCTTATCATACACGACTCGGAGGAGTTAGTTCCCCCTGCCTCACCCCCCACCCCCCAACCTTTCTCAGCACCCGATGAACAGCGTGTGGGGAAGCGGTGGGCAGACGGGCCTGAGGACTCGGGGTCCCTGCAGGTGTGTGTGTGTGGGGGGGAGAGTGTGGCCTGGCGCTTACTGGTTCTCCTCGGGATCCTGACGGGCGTGCTGCTGGCCCCGTCCCCTCCGGCAGTGGTGGCCCGGACGTGGACGACGTAGCCCTCCTGGACGGGCAGCCGCAGCTCGGCCGACGTCTGGTTTGTGCTGAGCACCCGCAGGCCGCCCTGGCCGCTCGTCCTGTAGAACACCTGGAACGTCAAAACACACTCAGCATGTGGTCCCAGCGGCAACCCCTGCTCGGGCCTGAGCCCCGTCCTTCGCTACGCTCCCCACACCACCACCACCCCAGCTTACGTCCCAGCCTCAGCACTGTCTAGCCAGGGTCAGCGCCCGGGGCTCGCACACAGCGGGACCATCAACCACAGCGTCTGGGAGGGTGAGGGTCACCCGGAGAGCTGAGCGGGAAGACAAGGCCCCCTGCCCTGATCGCGGACACGCACGGAGGACCAGAGCCAATGTATCTCACTGTGTTTTCTTTTTTAATATATTTTATTGATTTTTCTCAGAGAGGAAGGGAGAGGGAGAGGGAGAGAGAGTTAGAAACATCAATGAGAGAAGAAACATCCATCAGCTGCCTCCTACACACTCCCTACTAGGGATGTGCCTGCAACCAAAGTACATGCCCTTGACTGGAATCAAACTGAGCCAAACTGGTCAGAGCTCATTGTGTTTTCTTAAATATGCTTGTTGTTGGTGATCCTCCCCGGGGGATATTTTCCCACTGATTTGTAGGGAGAGTGGAAGGGAGGGAGAGAGTCACATCGATGGGTTGCCCCTGCACATGCCCTGACCAAGTCCTGGGAATCTAACCCGCAACAAGGTCCGTGCCCTCGATCAGAATTGAGCCATGGCTCAAAGCTCTATCCACTGAGCCAAACCTTTTTAATTTTTTTTTTTTTTTTGAGAGAGAGGAAGGGAGAGGGATAGAAACATCAATAAGAGAGATGAATATTGATCAGCTGCCTCCTACACATCCACTGCTGGGGATTGAGCCAGAAACCCGGCATGGGCCCTGACCAGGAATCGAGCTGTGACCTCCTGGTTCATATCAATCAATGCTCAACCACTGAGCCACACTGGCCAGGCAGCTTTGTTTTTTAAAGTCATCCATGGGTAGCATCAGAAGCAGCAAACTAACATAAACCATTTACAAACATTTTATCCCCAAACCCACGTGAATAGAATTATTGCACATCTTGGGAACACGCCTTCTTCATACAAGGCTTGACATGTGCATGACGTCATTAGGTTGAAGCCAGAAGCCTGACCTCCCTCACTGAGGGAATGGAGCCCGGCTCCCCGGAAAGCCCTGGCGGGAGCCGAAGACCACCGCAAACCGCGCCACCCACCTTGTATCCCGTCACCTCCGACTCATTCTCCATGGCTCGGACCCGTTCCCAGCTCAGGAACACCCTGGCGTCAGTGGCGTTCCAGACCACGTTTCCCGGTGGCTGGCTGGGAGCTGGAAGAGAGAGTGCGGGGTTAGCAGGGACCCGAGCTCAGAGGGACTGTCCCTGGGGCAGAGAAGGGCCTTGGAGGGAGTGGGCCAGCATCGCCAGGGTGGGGGTAAGGGGTGGGGAGGGGACGCCCAGTGCAGGCGGAGCCAGAAAACCTCAAGTGCAAAGCGGACAGAGCCGGTCAACATGAATGTGAACTTTCTCACTCTGATCACCAATCCGAAGCCCAGGGCGGTGGTCATAGTGTAATAGGAAAGTGGACGCACTTGACTAAACACCTCACACTGAGCTTTCCACACGGGGCCGTGCCCGCTCCCCGGGGGTGGCACCCTGCCAGTGTGGGGATCATGAAAATGCACGTGGCTCTGTGTTTGCAGGGCTGAGCTGGGCTGGCTGCTGTGGCCCGGCCACCCACCCACCAGGAGCTGCCATTCCCGATGCAAACTCCCGCCGCCCCCCACCCGGCACGCAAGATACCTACGCGTCTTCCTGGTGGTGGCGTTCACCGTGGCGCTGAAGGGCCCGGCGCCCGCGCTGTTGTACGCCCGGACGGCTGCGTGGTACACCAGGTGGCTCCTCAGGCCGTGGAGCCGGGCCGCGGTCTCCCCCGCCACCACCTTCACTCTGCGCGGCGAGCCCTCCTCCCCGCTGGTCCAGTACCGCACCTGGGGGCCGAAACACGACGGGGGCTGCCCTCATGCTCAGCGGCTGTCACCAACATGGGCGCCTGATGGGATTCCTTCCTTTAGACAAGTATTCACAAAGTGCCTACTGTGTGCTGCACACAGTGGGGCTCTGAGCCACGGATGCTCAAGGAGGAGACAGTTCTTCGTCTATAGGTGCCAAGGCCACCAAGAAAGAGAGAATGGGAGCTGAGGACCAGCCTGACCGCATGGACGTCCCCTGAATGTGAACAGGATGGGCAGATGTCACCCTCACGTCTAGGTCAATCCTTCCAGAAACTGTGCCTGCGGGATCCAGTTCCTTTTCTATGGCTATTATCCCCTTTTCCTACCCAAACGAATGTTATTTTCATTCAACTTATTGAGCTCATTTCCATATCCCTGGATATGCTCATGGGACCACGTGCTGGTGAGATGCCAGTGGAAGCCAGACGCTAGCTGGGACATCATGGTTACAAAGACCTACAGGGACGGAGCAAGGGACGTGGCCGCCTCCCGGCCGCAGCTCCCGAGAGCCATTACCTCATAGCCGAGGAGGTGGCCGCTGCTCAGCTTCCAGGGGACGGCGCTCCAGGACACCTGGATCTCTGAGGATGACAGGCTGTGGGCCCAGACGTGAGCCGGAGCCACTGTAGGTTCTGTTGGGGAACACCAACCAAAACACAGCGTTGGCAGGAAATGGTAGAAATCTACTGCAGTCCTTATTTTCAGAGAGCAGGTGGATACACTTGCAAATTCACAGACTACTCAGTAAAAAAATATCTACTGTCATGAACCGTGTCATGAAAACAGAGACATTGGCCCACTTTCGTTCCTCGGGGAAAGAGGACATCAGAGCCGCGGCGTCTCCTGGCTCAGGGGCCACGGCAGCCTGGGCTCCCTGCTCCGCCTCCCCCGCTCCAGGCCCAGCTTGTCTCCCTCCTCCCCTCTGTCCTCTCCATGACCGCCATGTCTTATTGTCATCCGCAGCTCTTGCCAGAGCCTCTGTGACCACAAATGCTACTGATTCTTCTTCGTTTTTAAAGTAAATTTTTATGGACTCCAGAGAGGAAGGAGAGGGAGAGAGAGAAATCATGATGAGAAAGAACCATGGGGCCTTGGCTGGGACCAGAAGCACAATCGCCGTGTGTGTGTGTGTGTGTGTGTGTGTGTGTGTGTGTGTGAGTGTACCTTCCTCTGCCGAGAACACGGTGGCCACGGGGCTGAACGGCCCTTCGCCCTTGTTGTTGTAGACGCCCACTTTCACTTCGTACGGCGCAAAGGGCACGATGCTCTCGTTCCGGAACACGTATCGCGGGGCCTCGGGGGACGTGACCACTGTCTGGATCCAGGTGCTGACCCCCAGCGGGCGGAAGGCGACAACGTACCCAAAGCCCTCGCCATTCTGCAGCTCCTCGGGGACCGGCTGTGAGAGAGAGCGCTCCGGTCACCTAGGGGACCAAGGCTGCTGCTGCCAGCCTGGCCTGCAGGGGGCACACCAGGGAGAAATCCACACCATATGGAGTGGGTGCTAAGCCAAGGGGAAGCTCAGTGGGACCCACGTGGGCACTTTCACTCTGAAATTTCCCAAAGCTGTTCATGTGTCTGAGCATCTTATAGCCCTGTCTGAGTTCTGAATGATAATGATGATGATGATGATGATAATAATAATAATAGTAAGTTGAATGACCACATCTCCTATGCCAAACAAATATCACATTATCCTCATGTTGATTTTATGAACAGAAACCACACATGGATATGATAATTAAGTGCCAAACCATAACATTAGAAAAACAGGAAATAAAACCACGTACCAACTCAAAGCTGCATGTGGGTCACATCAAAAATTCCTACTCCCATCCCATCATGGTCTCGACTTTTAATGTTTTTCAGCATCTTTAAATCATAGAGACAATGCCAGTGCCTTTTGCTTTCAACGTGCTCATTAAAACTGTTCCCAATGATGACATCAAGCAGCAGCTGAGAGGACAGCTAGGCCGCCAGCACCTGGGGCGTCAGGGGCACGTCATGGGGGTGGGGGGGTCCCTCACCAGCGAGCGCACAGCTGCTCGGGATGCCTCAAGGGCAACTGGGGAGCAGCAGCCAGACACGGCTTTCTCCCTGGGTTTCCCTGCCTGATGACCTAGGACAAATTATTTAATAACTCTATGCCTTAGTGTTCTGTCTATAAAATGTCAAAACGATGCAATTGTTAAAAATATGAAAAATGCTAGGAACAGTGATTAGTCAGCCCAAGCTTTAAAAGCATTAGCCTCCTGGCTGGCGTGGCTCGGTGGTTGAGCGTTGACCTAGGAACCAGGAGGTCACGGTTGGATTCCCTGTCAGGACACACATGCCCAGGTGGTGGGCTTGATCTCCAGTAGGGGGCGTGCAGGAGGCAGTCAATAGATGATGTTTTATCTCATCAATATTTTCATCTCCCTCTCCCTTCCTCTTTCTGAAATTAATAAAAGCGTATTTTTTTTAAAAAGCACCGGCTGCCAGCAGGACCCCAACAGCCTCCCTAACACCCCCCCTGCCAGGCCGCAAGGACTGTGAGAACAGCAGGATCCCAGCCCCCCAGGACCCCTCCTTGAGGCCCTGAGGATTGTGGGAACAACAGGTCCCTGAGGGGCAGATGCAACCCAGACACTCACCTCCCAGGTTATCACCAGTTCGGACCGGCTTCCGCCTCCCCCACTGACCTCGGAAGGAGGCACTTCGGGGGCTGTGAGGTTAGAGAGACAGAGGTGAAACCCTACCGGCCTTCGGCAATGTGTGCTTGAAAGAAGATCTTGCTCATTTTTCATAATTCACATCATTTGATCACAGGCACATTCTGCACACACGTGTGTGCACATATGCAATATACCTCTCCGGGTATGCACACAGATGTTATGTGTGTTTTTCTCAGTGAACACGGACACTGGTTTGGTTCCTCGGCCTGGGGCCCGCGATGCACAGAGGCAGAACCGGCCACATGCACGGACCCGCAGTGTGCTGGACGGACAGGGGCAAAGCACCTTGTCTTTATTCCCAGGGGTCCTGGCACCAGCCCCAGGGGACACTGAGCTACAGCTTACGTTTCTGGGAGTCTGACTGTCACATGTATGAGGGTCAGTGCCCCACACCCCCACTTTGTCCATGGGTAAGCGGTCTACATCTTTGGGGGGGGAATCAGGACATGGTTTACATTTGTATGAAATGATCAAGGTTTCAATCTGTCAGAAAAAAAATGGACTCCGTCTGAGGGTCTGTAAAACAAGGAACTGCTTCACCAGGAACGACAAAAGGAGGACAGGATGGCGGCTTCACATAAAAATGCCCCTGATGAGCTACGGACCCGCACACGGGCATCAGCTTTCTCGCCCCCGCAGGCTGTGCTGAGAGAGCCCCAGGACGCGGCGAGAATCCGGGGTCCCCGCAGCTGGTCTCGTGCATAGTGGCACCCACCTCACCAGGAGGCGCTGAGCCCCAGGGGACGCTCCTTAGCATGCCAGGTGAGAAAATGAATGAGCACCAGGCAGACGCGGGCCCCCCTGACCCACAACACGCAGGTCTGGCACCGGTGGTGTCTGCACCGCCCCATGAGAGGCAGCGTCACTCGAGTTGTGGGAGCGGGTGCCATCACTCCAATCCTGGCTTACAACCCACACGGACACTGGGCTGTGTTTAAGACGCCATACTGCCCTCGAATTACAGAATCTGAGAGGGAGCCGCTACGCCCACTCAGATGCCTCGATCACGGAACAGAATGTATGCTTTGCTCGTTTTTAGCTGTGGCGTCAGGATACTTTCAGAATTGCCAAACAGCCGTGTGGTTCACAGGAACCGTTCCCCGGGGTGGGATGCCCTACCAGCGATTCTCTCTGGGCTGAAGCCTAAGGGGCCGAAGGCGCCTCCTCATGCACTGTTTGGACTCATCATCATCCCCCCGTTTGTCAGGGCTCCTTACAAAGGAGAACGGCACTTCCCTGCCCACAGGGTGACGGTGCCAGCCAGTAATTATCACCGTAAGTGACAAGACCAGAGCCACTCAACATGCATTAGTGGACACCGGCAATGCACCTGGCGCTGGGAATGTCAGGATGCCCCCGAGGCACGTTCAGGGGAGTCTTTCTGACAAATGCCATCCGGCCAGGCCAGTCCTGCTGTTAAAGATGGGGCTTGGGCGGTCACTGTGCCCATGGGTCACGGAGGCCTGTCCCCTGCTGGCTGGGAGACCAAGGCCGAGGGAAATGCAAGCTCGCCCCCGGGGAGACCTGCCAACCCATGTTACTCAGGAAAGAGAACACTAACCTGCCTCTTCAGTTCTTACTTTTTCTGAGGGCAAACTGGGTTCTCCACCTCCGAGTTTGTTGCTGGCTACAACCCGAAATTCGTACTCCACCCACGGGTTTAACTCGACTACAGTGGCAGTGTGTGTTTTCCCATCAATGACCTCGGGCACTACAAAGAGCAAGTCAGAGAGGTCAGAGTCTGCGTGGTTCGGCGCTGGCTGGCAACCCACGGACAGGTACCCGCAGCCCCGGCCGGAGCCCTCACCTGTCCTGGCGGCCTGCCAGCCCAGGGAGAACGGCGTCCTTGCCTGGACGGCATAGGCGGTGATGGGGCTGTGGTTGTCGGTGCCTTCTGTCCAGGACACCTGGGCTGTGGTGTCCGTGATCTCCTCCACCTGCACGTTTGCGGGTGGCCCGGGGGAACCTGGGAGGCAAGCAGGAGTAGTTAGGCCACACGTCTCACCCTCCTTTTCCAAAGGGAAGAGCATGTCACATGACCACTGGAACACCGCCAGAATCCTGATTTCAGAGGCACTTACAGAAAAGGCCATTTACCTGTAATACCCGGCTTCCCTTTCTTTTCTTCTTCTCTTTTTTTAAAAATATATTTTATTGATTTTTTACAGAGAGGAAGAGAGAGGGTTAGAGAGCTAGAAATATCGATGAGAGAGAATCATCGACCAGCTGCCTCATGCACACCCCCCACTGGGGATGTGCCCGCAACCAAGGTACATGCCCTTGACCTGAATCGAACCCGGGACCTTTCAGTCCGCAGGCCAATGCTCTATCCACTGAGCCAAACTGGTCTCGGCCCCTTTCTTTCATTAGGCCTTAAATCCAACTGGGAGGCAGTCATTCTGAAATTGGGATGCCTCAGCGGCACATGACGCCTGCTTTTGAGGCCCCGGCCAGAAGGGTTTTTTCAAACTCAATGTCCTTTGCTCTGGGCGGGGTTCCCACTCCTGCCATCCCGGGCTCATCTCAGTCATCCCAGCAGGTCATCTGGGCTGTCTCCTCTGGGAGACAGGCTGGTCATTTCAGCCCAGCAGCAAATCAGCTCCTTGGAGAGCAGCCCGGTTGTCTAGGCATTCAGGACGATGCTGATTCTTTTGGAGTTTCCATAGACATGTACTCACAAAACACAATGCACATGTATGTCTTCACATACTATGCATGCACCAACATACATACAAATGCACACGTGTGTGCGTGTACACACAACTATTCCCTTTCATATTAAACTCGATCACGGACTTCACTACATGTTCATAGCACATCGGCTGAGCAGCTGCTGTGCAAAAGCTGCACAGAGGGCGGAGCTGAAATTTTTATGTCTTTGAATTTGCACCCATCCTTACTGTCACATTCTTAGGGAGCAGGAACCAGTCAACAATAAAACCGCACGCTCCTCTGCCCCCTCTTCCTGGTTCAGCTGCAGGGAGACAGGCCCAGGGAAGACGGTCAATAAGAAACATGGTGGTGCCGAAACCGGTTTGGCTCAGTGGATAGAAAGGTCCCGGGTTCGATTCCGGTCAAGGGCATGTATATTGGTTGCAGGCACATCCCCAGTAGGGTGTGTGCAGGAGGCAGCTGGTCGATGTTTCTCTCTCATCGACGTTTTTAGCTCTCTATCTCTCTCCTTTCCTCTCTGTGGAAAATCAATAGAAAATATTAAAAAAGAAACATGGTGGTGTCGATGTTTACCTCTCACTACAAGGTCAGCGGCTGAGGAGACACTGTCCACCGCACTCTGCACCACACAGACGTACTTCCCTGCGTGCTTCAGCTGGATGTTCCTGATCATCAAATCACCGGATGAGCTCTGTGGGAATGAACACGTAAGGAGCACACTTTTATTCTGCAAACCAAACCCTCGTGAAGGCTGTGGCCAAGCAGGAGACCTGTATCCGGAGAGAACAATACGTGGGGGAGAAGCCGACACCCCAGAATGTATGGAAATAGAAATGAGAAGGTGAAAACCACACAGGAAATAAAGAGGAAACCACACAGGAAATAGAGGGGAAACCACACAGGAAATAGAGGGGAAGCCACACAGGAAATAGAGGGGAAACCACACAGGAAATAGAGAGGAAACCACACAGGAAATAGAGGGGAAACCACACAGGAAATAGAGGGGAAACCACACAGGAAATAGAGAGGAAACCACACAGGAAATAGAGAGGAAATCACACAGGAAATAGAGGGGAAACCACACAGGAAACAGAGGGACAACCACCATGGCTGTGGATAGATTTCCATGACGGAATGCCCATAAATTCCTCTGGGCATTTATGTTTCCAAAATAAATGAGGGCAGAGACCGTGGTCTCAGAGTCTATTTCCTCCCACCAGGTGCCACTTCTCTTTATCTCCAGCTCAGCACCTGCTCATGCTCCTCTCCACTTCCCACCTGTGCGCAATCTCCTGGGAAGAGGAGGGAATGCGTGGCTCTAGGGGGGAGTGGGGGTGTTTGGGGGGAGGGGGAGATTTGGGCAGCCGGGCTTGCTGGAGCTTTTTGAGCTTATGCACTTTTCCCCAAAACGTGTGTTGGCTTTTTGTCACGAATGAATATTGCCTATGCAGCCTAGCCCCAATGACAAGGGGCAGAGTGGCTTGAAAGCTGTGAGTTCGGGTTTTCTTTGTTAGCCGGCCCCTCTCCCTCCTGAAAGACCACTCTGGAAGCCCTGGGGTTAAAAGGCCAGCAGACAGACCTTCCCCGTATCATGCCAATGCTGCCGCGGGCACACAATCGGGGGTAGGGCTGTTACGTGCCTCCCTCTCACATAGCAGGAAACCATTGTGCTGAACTGCATGTGCTTAAGGGCCATGTCGCCGCGGAGGGCTTGGTGGTTTATGCAGAATATTGTTACCAAGGCACAGGTCCCTACACCAATTCACAGGCCACGAACCAGCCTTTCGACAAAGACCTGAACTGCCGAGCGATGGGATTCCTCTCTGAAGCTTCGTGATTCTGCTCCCATGCCTCCCGCAGAACCTACACCAAGCAGGCAGTGTGGCTGAAGGCCTCAACAGCCCTCAGTTGGTGAGAACCATTTGTGAGGAGACCAGACTTCCGGGGCGGGATAAGCCCCAGGGTCGAAGAAGGATGTGGCGGTGAAATCGTACTTAACTGAGGCTAGGATCCTAAGCATCTCCCCTTCCTTTGCTTTTCAAAGATTACCCGCTGCCCCGCCAGCATGATGCAATGGTTGGGCGTTAACCTATGACCCAGGAGGTCACAATTCGATTCCCAGTCAGGTCACATGCCTGGGTTGTGGGCTCGATACTCAGGAAGGGGCGTGCAGGAGATAGCCGATCCATGATTCACTCTCATCACTGATGTTTCTCTCTCTCTCTATCCTTCTCCCTTCCTTTCTGAAATCAATAAAAATATATGAAAAAACAAACAAAACAAAAAAAAGGCTACCTGCAACCCAGGTATATGCCCTTGACCGGGAATCAAACCTGCAACCCTTTGGCGCACCAGCTCGATGCTCTAACCTAGGGGTGTCAAACTCAATTAGAGAAGGGGCCAAAATCTAAAATCCAGCCTAAATCGCGGGCCGAATGGTTTACTGAACAGTCATAAACTGTCATTGTGATGGAAACGCAGCGGAGTGCAGTGATGACAGCGCGGTGCGGGCCACAGTGCAAGGCCTGGCGGGTCGGATTTGGCCCGCGGGCCTTGTGTTTGACACATGTGCTCTAACCACTAGGCGACACCATCCAGGGCTGCTGGGCATTTCCTGAGCATCACACGCTTGCTGCTTTCCCAGTCTGCACAGCGCAGGGAGGAAGGGCCACTCACCCCGCCGGCCTGTTCCAGGTGGGAGCTGTCCTTCTGGAAGCCGGCCAGCGCCCCGTTGAAGTACCAGGTGAACGCGACGTCCAGCAGGGGGTCGTGCCGCACCTGGCAGGGCAGGACCACGCTCTCGCCCACGGACACGTCCATGTTCGACGGCGCCAGCGTTATTCTCGTGGGGTCTGGGGGGCCGGGGGGGAGGGGGAACCAGGTTTTAAGCCAAACGCCAGCATTTTGTTGCCACGAAAGCGACGTTCCCAGGCCGACTTTGCATCTAGCCTGGAGCATGCATGTCTGCCCGGCTCACCCCCCGCGCCCTCCGAGTGTCAGATGGTTTGCAGCTTCCTCCTCCCACGAAGCCCCTGCTTCCCACCCCCAGGGCCTGCGTTCTCCCAGCTCCCGAGGAGGTCAGCCTCCCAGGGCAGCGCCCTCCTCTGTGCTGACGACGTGAGCCAGCCGAGGACCGGCATGCAGAAGGCACTCAGGTTTTCCCTGACTGAGTGAATCAGGGGCGGAGACCCCTTTTCCTGCCAAGGGCCATGTGGCTACTTATACCATCATCCTCAGGCCATGCAAAATCGTCAATTTAACGATGAGCCTGCTCAGTCTGGCCAAGCATTTCACTCACTCACCCTCATGCCGTGGCAGGGCCCTCGTCAGCCCTGGGGCCACACATTCCCGTAAGTCAGTGTTTCCCAAACTCCTGACATATGGGTACCCCTTCTATAATTTTCGTCACGCTGAGTACCCCTCGTACTCATGAGAACGTAGAATTGGGCGCAGCTAAGCACGGTGCAGTGCACATCCCCACCAAACCCCGGTGCAACGGGTACCCCCACCAGACTCTTCCCGTACCCCCGGGGGGACGCGTACTACACTTTGGGAAACACTGCCCTAAATGAACAAATAAATGCCAACTCTAAGTGACATTTACCAACAGCAAGGACCCTCCCATGGTCACAAACATCTCCAGGCACCCTCAGGGTACGGGAAAAGACAGAGGATCCCAAGACCTCACAGAGGAGAACAGCAGGAGGTCATGCAGGTCACCAGCACAGGGGCCAGCGTGCGTCCGCCCGCAGCATGCAGTGTGGCCCACCCACCCCCTTGGGGACCCCACCTGTGACGACCAGGTGCGTGGAGCCACTGGCCGCCCCGAACTGGTTTTCTGCGAAGCAGGTGTACGTCCCGGCATCGGCCTTCGTCACGTTGGCTATGCTGAGCCCTCCGTCTTTCAAGAAAGAAATTCTAAAGGAAAGACAAATGCAAACTGATGGCAGCCATGTCCCCCCAGATAAACAGCCATCTTTCTAGTAGAAGTGCTGCCTCAGACTAGTACTTCTGAGCTGTTCTTGGAAACAGAGGGAAACGGAAGTAAAGTTTCCATCCCCCGGGAAAAAGGACGGAGCTGCATTACCGACAGGGCACCTACATTTGGAGATATTTCCCAAGCAGGCAGGTGTGGCAGGTCCCCCAGGCCGTACCCTCATCGGTTTGGAGAAAACGAAAAGTAGGAGGAGACTACGCTCCTTAAATCCAGAAGGGGAGCTGAGAAATAAGGAACCCCCTGGCCTTTCATTATGAAGTGGAGAGAAGCACATTCAAGCCAGGAAAATCCAGATTTAACAAATATAATTTCAGAGACAGGAAGGGAAAGATGAAGAGAGAGAGAGAGAGAGAGAGAGAGAGAGAGAGAGAGAGAGAGAGAGAGAGGGAGAGAAACATCAGTGACGAGAGAAGATCATGGATCCGCTGCCTCCTGCATGCCACACAGTGGGGGTCAAGCCCGCAACCCGGGCATGTGCCCTGACCGGGAATCGAACCCACCAAAAAGTTCTCCCATCCCTTTTGTTGGGGAGGCAGGAAAGAGAAAACTGGTGGAGAAAAGTCTCAAAGGGGAAGTGTGAGTATAAACACGTGGCCCATCCCGAGGGCAAATCCCACCAGTGAGAGTATTCTGCCCTGTTCCCCAGAGACCAGCCGTAGCTTCCATCCATAAGTGCGACCCGCTGTGACTGATGCAGAGAGTGACTGGCTGGAGGTGTTAGCAAGCGAAGGAAGAGAGTAGGGAGATGATGTGGGGAGGCCTTGGCTCATAGTCCGAGGGAGGAGGTGGGGCTGGGGGCTCCGGGAAGCTGGGTCCCACCCTGGGAGGGTGGTGAGCGCCGAGACCAGGGACCGATGTCGCTTGTGGAATGATCGAGAGCTCAGCTTCCACCAGTGCTTTGGGCTGGTGCCGGAGAACAGCCGGGCGATGGCGGCTGTCTTCCCGTGCGGAGACAGGGTGACAGGGAACTTTCCGGACACAGAGGGACCCACTAGGAATGTTGGGAGAACAGGAAACCCCAGGCACAAGCCTGCTCCCCGCCTCTTGGCCCCCCCAAGAGGGTCAGCGTCCGAGGCAAGGCTGCCAACTCCAACACCAACAGAGGGACCCTCAAAGGCAGCAAACTCATCGCGGGAGAAGCTGTGAGCTCACTGGCTATCTTCTTCCACCAGGAAGTTCTGAGAGGCCCGCTGGGCAGTTCTGGACCTACGCACACAGACGCCCTTCAGGAAACGGAAGCCCGGCTCCGAGAATCAGGTGGGCTTTCCCTACACACGCATCACACACTGTCATGTGACACGTGTGGCAAAGGCCCGCAGGAGTGACACGGAAGGAAGACCTGTGAGCCCCGCCCTGGGGCTTGGGAGGGGGCCTCCAGCGGGTAACAAGGAGCTGGCCTGGAGCAGAAGCCGCAGAGACATGGGGAGCACTCAGCTCCTCCCTCCTTCCTTTTGGCGAGAATCCGAAGGCAGCACCACGCCCTCCTGCGGTGCATCCTGGGAGAGTTACCGCAGTCACTGGTCTTGCTTCCAGAGAAAGGACCTGCTTTTCCTTAAACATGTTCGCAGGAAAGTGCAAAGGCAGTATGCCATGACGCCAAGGTTTCTACACCTGCATGACCATGTTTCTCTTGGCATCTTCAGGGAGGGGGTGTTGGGCTGCTCCTGGGACTTGGGGCTTCCACACCCCAGTACCTAAAACTTTGATGTGGAGCCTGGATACAGAGTAAGGTATCAAGTTTGAACAGGAAACTGGTGTGAGGCAGACTCGTTAACCGGCTCTCCCTACGGGAATCAGAGCATCGGCGAAGTATTTTAAATGCGGCCTTCACGTTTATAATCCATAAAGGTCGTATTTGACATATGGATTTAACCACCGCATGACGACCTGCAAAATGCAGCTGATGTGACTTTAGAAAACACTGGAAAGCAGCAATTTCTTTAATAATATTCGGGTAGGATTTAAGGTTTACATAATGGAAAACAGTTGCTGTAAAAAAAAAAAAATTAGGTATTTTCTCATTGCTCATCCCTTTCCTTTTGAACCCAGTCCCGTTACTTACTCTGAAGTGTCTGGGCAACACAGTGGCAAAGGAGAGTATTAAAAAACAACACCGGCAGCTGCAGGGCCTGTGTGGGAGACCCCGTGGGAAAGCCGCTCTAGTGTTACCTGTGTGACTCCGGCCTGCAGGTCAGGAAAGGGGCGTCCGGGCTGTGAGAGAGATGCCCAAAGGGAGCCCTGTCCCTTCCTTGCCGGTCCCAGGAGGCCAGGTGTCCAGCCAGCCTCTGGCTAAGAATGTATGCCAAGCAAAGGGCGCCAAGCAGAATGACGAACCCGGCGACCTAGGGCTTTCTGGCCTGTTTCCCAAGCAGAGGGGGCACCAGACTCAGTACTGGGCAGCTTGTCCCACAAGTGGCTGCTCCTCTCTCTCCACGGGCGGAAGTTAAATCAAAGAGCAAATAACACTCGCCGTTAGCTTCCCCCGGCCCGGGGGGGAATGGGCATGGCGATCAGCACGGAGGCTGCAAACACACATAGGCCTGCCATAGAAGGACACGCGTACACACGCAGACATGTAACCAGCCTGTGCTTGTCGGGGCAGACATTTACGTTCTGCTCCGAAGGGATGTCACCGAATGGATGGCCCAGTGCGTCCCCAAGAGCAAAGGGGATCTGCATTCACAGGACCTGGAGGGGCTCATGAAGGCGGGAAGAGACGGTGTAAAACCCCACGTGAGCCTTTAAGGTAAGTTGACCAGATGTCCCGCTTTTGGCGGGACAGTCCCGATTTTTAATAATTTGTCCCACATCTGGTCACCTCACTTTAAAATAATTCAGGCATCTGCATGCAGTCTCAGTGAGCCTCGTGGGTGTGCCGGTCTGAGCTTGAACAAATGCATGAGCCTGTGTAACTGTGTCACAACCCAGCCCTAAAAAAACCCCTTTCCCCCTTCCCACCCCCCAGTCCCCGCCCTGTGACCCCGACAGTCACCCTCTCCACCCACTCTCGGCCCCGCAAGCAGGGACTGCTGTTCTCTGTCCCCGAAGCTGTGCCTTTTCCAGGAATGTCACAGACAGGGCACCCCCAGCACACAATGCTGATGGCATTTTAACAGCCACCCGCTACCTATACGCAAAAAGCAAACGGAGCATGGGTTGATAAGTCTTACAAACACTGTCGGCATCATGGTCACTAATATTCGGGAGAAATCTCTGCCACCGCCCCCCCCTTCTAGAAGCATTTAAATTTCTACGTTAAATGCTGCAGAGGACATAAAACCATTTCAATGCGCTTAATTAGAAATAATGCGCCATCCCTCCACTCGCCCCTGAACGAAGGCCGTGGCCGTAAAGCATCCGCTGTGATAGGCAACAGCATTCAGGTGAAAGCCCCATTAAAAGAAAAATAATTGGCTAATGTGTTTTGAACGCTGCCGAGGGACACGGGAAAGCTCAGCATCCTTTAGAACGTGCCACCGGAGGGTTCTTCTCGCTGACAGTGCTGGCTGCATCGCCAGGGGCCCTTTTCCGGTTTACTTTGCTTAAAGGGGAAAAGGCCTCCCGTCCTCATTCCCATCTTGGAAACGCGTGGGTTTGAGGACATGGTTGTAAAGGCCACAGCTCGGAGATGCCCATGCGCCCTGAGACCTTGGAAGCTTAGCAGCGAGGGCGTGGGTCAGAGCACGGGCTTCCTGCGGGGAGGGGGCCGCACTTCTCAACAGTGGGCAGCCCACCGAGAAAATAAACAGCAGAGACATCCTCCAAACAAGACAGCTTCGCTCCCTGTCGACACCGGTGATTTCAACATTTAGTGTGCCTGTCAACCAGGTGAGTCCCGCTGACCTTCGACTTGAGTTGACTTAACACATCAATTAGTTGTACATGGTAACCGTTAGCCACTTAAAGGGGGTCGTTAAGCAGGCATCCTCCACTCAATTGTTAAGTCTCCACCCACTTCTCAGGTGAGAGGCAGACCCTCCCGAGTGCCAGCAGATGACAGGGACCCGCCGAGAGCAGCTGGTGCACCGCGTGGTTCCCGTATCTCGTCTGCAGCTCAGCCCTTTCCCCGAGCTCTGATTTGTCCAGTGAATCTCCAGCGCAGACACATCCAGCTGGTTCTTCCACACCATTGCACACCCAGCCAGCCTCAGATGAGCATGCATGCCCTGCCCCTTCTGGAACCTTCCGTCTCCCCGACCAGGTCTTCCAAGCACCGCTCTGGTGCTCACGCTGGAAACAGGATACACTCTGGACTCCTTCCTTTCTTCTTGTTTCTTCAAATCATGAGCCCCATCCTCTCAGAAACATCGATGTGAGAGAGATACATTGATTGGTTGCCTTCCATACAAGCCTCCACCAGGGCCAGGATTCTGCCTGCAATCAACATGTGTGCTCTTGACCAGAACTGAACCTGGGACCCTTCAGTTCACTGAGCTGAACAGACTAGGACCACTGCTCCGATTTTTAAAAACATAAATCTGGCCTCTGATGTTGCTCCTTTACTTCTGCTGCCCCCCAGGGCCCACAGAACCAAGCCCGGACTCCGCAATTCAGCAACTACGTCATCCCCAGTAAGACCTCTGCTCACCCCGCTGCACCCCTCCTGGGTGCTGTCCACTGGAGGGGCACGGAGCCTTCATCACTGCAATGCAATGTCCCTGCCCACCAGGCCTCCGTGCCCTCACCCGTGCTGTTCCCCTAGCCTGGCACGCTTCTCCAAGGACCCCCGTCACCTCTCCGGTCTCACTGAGACCCCGGGTCCCCCAGAACATCTGCTCCTGCCCCCTCACATGCAGACGGGCCTTCTCGGGGAATCACGGAGCATGCTGTTCTTCCCCAAATGAGCACCACTGTGACCCTGTGTCACCTTCACAGCCTCCAGGAAGCTGAGAACAAGCAGAGTGATGTGTCTGATAAATACCTAGCCCAGCCGGCGTGGCTCAGGGGCTGAGCATCAACCTATGAACGAGGAGGTCACGGTTTGATTCCCACTCAGGGCATGTGCCCAGGTTGCAGGCTCGATCCCCAGAGTGGGGCCTGCAGGAAGCAGCCAATCAATGCTTCTCTTTCATCTATGATATTTCCATCTCTCTCCCTGTCTCCCTTCCTCTCTGAAATCAATAAAAACATATTCAAACGAAGACCAAAATACCTAGTGACCAGCCTGTAGTTGGTCAAAATATTTCCAAACGGGAGGATGAGCCCTTAATGCTGGGAGCCGGCCGCCCTCCGCACAGTAAGCCTGTTATCTACTCAGAGCAGCTCTTCCAGGACTTCAGCTGGGAGCTCACCGCCGTTCCCTGAGCCTGGGACGCTCTCTCCACCTGAGAGCAACGCTGGCGTCTTCAGCACGGCTCTGCCCCTCGGAGTCTCTCAGGGACAGGAGGGGAAGTCCTGACTAAGATCAAGTGCTCCCGGTGAGGAGGGAGAGAGCGCTATTTTAGATTCCAGGGCCCGACTACTGTCATCGGGAGGGGGCTGCAGAACAAAACCGGCCATCCTGATCCCGAAACACCCCTCGCTGCCTTGAAATGCCACTGCGTCCCACCTCCTATTGAAAACCTAGTCAGAATGTGGAAAATAAAGGATGGAATCCTCACTGGAAATGGAGCCGGCCAGCCTGAAGGGGGCGCTGTTCCGCTCTGGCACCTGGACTCCAAAGAGGAGGACAGACCAGGGCAGCTGAGGAGGGAAGGGATCCTCCTGGCCAGCAGAACACCCAAACTGTCAGGCCTCACCTGCACCTCTGGCTGAGCACCTGTGACATTAGCCCCGCCCCCAGGATGCTGTTACACCCCAGCTCCTCCAAAGGCCCCTCCCCCCTCGTCCTCTAGGATCAAGCCCAGCTGCTCCTTACCCAAGGAGGGTGCATCCCAGCTCCCTGTCCCGGGGGCATCCCCCTGCTATTCCAGAGAACACCTGCAAGCCCGTCTTGCAGGTAAAATATCTGTCTCTTCGATCCTTTCTCAGGCCCACAGGTACCCCTGTACAAAGTGAGAGGAGAGCAGGCTGCAGCTCGGTGGCCTCAATACCTTCCATCCTCTCGTACTGTCACCTCTCCTCTCCTCCAGGAGCACAGGGCCCGGGGGGCGGCTCGGGGCCGGCAGTCCAGGCCCACTGTGCTGCCCACCTGCGCCCGCACCAGCTTCTTCATGGGCGCCGCGGAGAAGTCCGGAGCGGAGGCTGGAGAGGAAGGAGGAACAGGAGAGAGGACCAGGGCTCAGGTGGAAAATACGGAAGCCACTGGGGTGCAGGCCTTGCTTAGAAGCCCGACCCACTCCCCGGGAAAACCGACGACGTTATCAGATATGGGATATAAAAGTAAGTCGGCATGGCTCAGTGGTTGAGTGCCAACCTATGAACCAGGAGGTCACAGTTTGATTCCTGAACAGGGCACAGGCCCGGGTTGTGGGCTCCATCCCCAGTGTGGAGCATGCAGGAGGCAGCCGATTGATGGTTCTCTCTCATCACTGATGTTTATCTCTCTCTCTCTCCCTCTCTGTTCCCTTCTAGAATCAATAAAAAAATAAATTTTAAAAGATTAAAAAAAAGAAAAGCAAGTATTTCTGCTTCTGGCAAAATGGAGGGCTTAGGGGAAATAACAAGACAAGGGAAGGGCGTCTCACCCAGCACCCGGAGCTCGGCGCTGGAGTAGGCGAGGCCATGCTTGTTCTCCGCCACGCACTGGAACATGCCCGCGTCCGCCACGCTCAGGTTCACGATGCTCAGGGCGCCGTTTTCCAGCTGGATCCGCTCCTGCTCGGAGGCAAACACCTCCCCCAGGTAAGTGTTTCAGAGCAGCAAACTGCTGAAAACTACTTTTTGTTGTTGTTGTTGTTAATCTTCCCCGAGGATATTTTTCTTATTATTTATTTATTTTTATTGTTCCCATTGATTTTTAGAGAGAGAGACACACACACACACACAGAAATGTCTATGTGAGAGAGACACGTTGACTGGTTGTCTCCCACAGGTGCCCCGACTGGGTTGGGACTGAACCTGCAGCCCAGGTAACATGCCCTTGACCGGAATCGAACCAGGGACCCTCCAGTCTGCGGGCCGACACTCCATTCACTGCGCAAACCCAGCCGGGCTGACTACAGTTCTTCACGAGATCCTCCTCACCTGTCCTGAAACTTAAACTCTTCTTCATCAGAAAACGTGGGGCTGGTTAATGTGAGGGCTACGCACGGAAATGCCAGCAAGTAGGCCAGCCCCAAGGGAAGTCCGGCCCCAAGGGAAGGCCAGCCCCAAGGGAAGTCCGGCAGTAACAAGGAAAGGTAAGATGTTGCCACCACTTAACTCTTCCGGAACACGTTTAAAGCACATATATTTTTATTGACTTCAGAAAGGAAGGGAAAGGGAGAGGGAGATAGACCTTTAACACTACAGATCCTCAAAAATGTCCCAACCTTTCCATCTCCTCAACTGGAAAGGTTTTCACCATTTTTTAAAAAAAAATCACATCGATTAAAGACATTATACATTCTGTGCATTAAAAAGTGTTCTGGGGCTTGGCCGGTGTGGCCCGTAGTTGAGCATCCACCTAGGAACCAGGAGGTCATGGCTCGATTCCTAGTAGGAGGCAGCTGATCAACGATTCTCTTTCATCACTGATGTTTCTATCTCTCTCTCCCTCCCCCTTCTGCTCTGAAATATGTGTGTGTGTGTGTGTGTGTGTGTGTGTGTGTGTGTATATATATATATATATATATTTTTTTTTTTTTAAGTGGTGCAGCATCACATAGACTAAATTCACAAAAATCACTCTTTCCACATGAAATGCCATGTCAGGACATTCTTCCTGCAGTGATGGGGTTTCCACCTGCACTGCTCCTCACACATGGACACAGGGACAGAGAGACAGAGAGACAGAGGGACAGAGAGTCAGAGGGATAGAGGAACAGAGAGACAGGGAGATAGAGGGACAGAGGGACAGAGAGACAGAGGGACAGAGGAACAGAGAGACAGGGAGATAGAGGGACAGAGGGACAGAGAGACAGAGGGACAGAGAGACAGAGGGACAGAGGGACAGAGGAACAGAGAGACAGAGGGACAGAGGGACAGAGGAACAGAGGGACAGAGAGACAGAGGGACAGAGGGACAGAGGAACAGAGAGACAGAGGAACAGAGGAACAGAGAGACAGGGAGATAGAGAGACAGAGAGACAGAGGGACAGAGAGACAGAGGGACAAAGGGACAGAGAGACAGAGGGACAGAAAGTCAGAGGGACAGAGGAACAGAGGGACAGAGGGACGGAGGGACAGAGGGACAGAGGAACAGAGAGACAGAGGAACAGAGGAACAGAGAGACAGGGAGATAGAGAGACAGAGAGACAGAGGGACAGAGAGACAGAGGGACAAAGGGACAGAGAGACAGAGGGACAGAAAGTCAGAGGGACAGAGGAACAGAGGGACAGAGGGACGGAGGGACAGAGGAACAGAGGGACAGAGGGACAGAGAGACAGAGGGACAGAGGGACAGAGGGACAGAAGTGGATGCCAGGGACGGGCCTCACCTCCAGCACCAGGGCCTCGCCGTTCCTCAGCCACCGGTAGGAGGGCTTGGGCTTCCCGCCGGCCCGGCAGTCCCAGCGCAGGCTGTCTCCCACCACAGCCTCCACGTCCCGGATGAGCTGGACCCAGTGCGGCTTTGCTGCAAGGGAAGGAAGGCGTCAACCCCCTGCCGAGGAAGAAGACACACGTGCTCCACGGACACGCCAACGGGCACGAGCCTGCGGGCACGGACGGACGTGAGCACTGAGCCCAAAGCTGTTCCGTTCCCTCCACCCCGACCCTGCAGATTCATCAATGTTTCCATACTGAGGGGGAGGTGGCCACGGTCACTGCCAAGCCCAGCTTGTCCCCGCTGTCTGCTTTCCAGCTCTGTGCGTTCTGGGACACTCTCGGGCGTCTGTGTGTCGACGGGAATGCAGGGACACACACTAGGTTTTCATTTCTTTTGAGTTGCAGCAGGTACTGGTCTTCAGGATGCCCTAAAAATTCCCACCCATAGGAGAGGGACTTCTGTGGCCGCAGAAAGAATATGTCCTCCAAGTCAGGGCTAACTCCCAATGACAGGCAACCCAGTGGGTGTCTCCCGAGCCTCGGTGTGAATTAAAATGAAAGCAGAGAAGGTGGATAAAGGGGTTCTGTTGAAATCATGTGTATATTTAAGGAAAAAGGAGTAATTCTGGCGCCCATAAATGAAGTATGAAGAAGCACTGTATCCAGTGGATTCCCTGATGTTTTATATATTTTATATATTTTATATATTTTTAAATATATTTTTTTATTTTTATTGATTTCAGAAGGGAAGGAAGAGGAGGAGAGAGAAATATCAATGATGAGAGAGAATCATTGATTGGCTGCCTCCTGCATGCCCCATATTGGGGATCAAGCCTGCAACCTGGGCATGTGCCCTTACTGTGACATCATGGTTCATAGGTCAGTGCTCAACCATTGAACCACACCAGCCAGGCTTCACTTATGTTGTAGAAGATGCTATTCGGAACATTCTCCTTACAGATGAAAGCAAAATACCACCTACAACGAAAGCCACTCAGAACAGCCTGCTCAAGGGCCAGGTCTCAGCTTGCCCCTCGAACCCCAAACAGGGAGACAGGTTGTCACACTGGTTCCTGTCCTGTGTGATATGGGCAGTGGCTCAAGTTTGCATTAGCCAGATAGAGGAATAGTTTATTTATTTCTAATTCATTGCAACCCTGAGAAGACCTGTCTCTCAATTTCTCTCATACAACTGCTGTCAAAAAAAAAAAAAGAAAAAGAAAAAAAAGAAAAAAAAAGAACTAGAATATTTTTAATAAAATATCTTTGGAAAAATTTTTTGAATAAAAGACGATCTAATTTTGCTACATAGAGACTCTAAATGAAGGTCACATGATTATTCTTTCCCTTCCAGAGTTGAGGGGCACACTGAATAAATATGGTCACAGATCCCAGGCAGTGCACAGGCAGTTCCATCTCCAGAGGGACAGAGGTCAGGACCACTCAGTGCCCACAGTGAGTCTAAAGCAGTAACACCTGCTTCCCAGCAGAAGTTCCTGTTTGCTTAGCAAAGATCATGAACATATCAAATCACATGTTCTGGGAAGATGTCTCCCCTGCACACGGTTACATGTCTAAAAGGTTATTGTCAGAACAGAAAGTGAACTATTTCATTGCTAGAGGCCCAGTGCACAGATTTGTGCACCGGTGGGGCCCCTGGGCCCGGCCTGCGCCCTCTCGCAATCCTGGTCCCCTCGGGGGATGGCAGACTGCTGCTTTTGGCCCAATCCCTCCAGCCAGGCTGAGGGGCCCCACCAATGCAGGAATTTGGTTTATCTTTTCCTGCCCTTCCCCGTCCCTCCTGCCCTCTGAGCTTCATCAGTCTGTTCCATGTTTCTATGCCTGTGCATTGAGCATCTGCCCCCTGGTGATTAGTGCACCGCGTAGCTACTGGTCGAATGGTTGGACAGTCAAACGTCGCTCAGGCTTTTATATAGATAGATCGATCATAGGAATCATTTTAAAATGCAGAGAAGGAACACGGTATGCCTCCAACTGCAGACTTCTCTGTCTTCTCAACCCCTTTTATGATTCTCATCCTGATTTTACAAAAGGGAGACCATGTTGGACCCCGGATTCTGCCATGACCTCCCTCCCCGCCCACCTCGGCGTTTGATGAGAGGGAAGCTCCCACTCCCACTGGCCCGCGGGGACGGGGACACCGGCCACGGGGTCACCTACCGTAGTACGTGAGACGCCCGCGGGCCACGTTTCTCCCCCGGGAATTCTCGGCGAGGCACTCGTAGGACCCCGCGTCCTCCTGCTCGAAGCCGGGGATCTCCAGCACCCCGCCGGACTTCCGCAGGGTCGCTCTCCCGGGCAAAGGCCGCCCGTCGCTCCTCCTCCAGGTGATCCGGGGCACGGGGCTGCGGAGACACGGCACGGTCGCTGCTATGGTAAACGGGAGCCTGGAGCCAGCACAGCTTGGGTTTGGGCCCAGAAAAAGACCACGGGGTTCTGTCCTTGGCGATTGCACACCCCCAGGGCCTCGCCCGGACCTCAGGCTCCCAGCTCAGTAACGTAAGTGCTGCGTTTTCCTGAATGAATGCATGGTTTGGTGTCAAAGGTCTAACCCAGCGGTCAGCAAACCGAGGCCTGAGAGCCACATGCGGCTCTTTGGCCCCTTGAGTATGGCTCTTGCACAAAATGCCACATGTGGGCACGCACGTACAGTGTGACGGAAACTTCGTGGCCCACGCGCAGAAGTCGGCTTTCGGCCTGGGCGAGTCTGTTTTGAAGAAGCCACACCCAAGGGGCCAAAGAGCCGCATGCGGCTTGCGGGTCATAGTTTCCCTACCACTGGTCTAACCTACTCCCTACGATCATAGGAACGAGGGAAAGAAAGTGAACGCCAATCCTTTACAAAGTGAGGCCGAGGTGTGTTCAGCAAAGGCCTTCAGAGTAAATGATGCCCGCACTTCCCCCTTCCGCTTTAGTTTTCTTTTGCTTCTACGTGAAAGGAAGAATGAAAATGAGGCCAAGCGGAGTCTGTCAAAAACCACCCCGACCCCTCGCGGCCCCCGCCGCTCGGCACGTCGGAGGGAGGGCGGCGGCACTTACTTCCCGAGCGCGAAGCACTCCAGCCTCGCGGTGGACCCTCTGGCGGCCGGAAGCGTTTCCGGAAACTGGACTTCTATTTTCGGCTCGTATTCACCCATCACGCCTGGAAACCCACAATGCAGGTCGCTCAGCATTACCGTCACCTTGGGAACCGGCCCCTTTCCCTTCGAGGCAGCTTCCTCTGGCTGCACCGGTGTCTCCCTTCCCACCCGAGAGCAGGTTCGGACGCCGGGCGCCGAGCTGGCTCAGGCCGCGTGGCCAAACCAATAAGCATCCTCGGATTCCGAGGTCCATAGACGACCGGGTAAGGGGCAGCTCTGAGAAAGCCGCCACGCGTTTTCTGGTGTATACAATGGGTGGTTTTGGTATGGTCTGTCCAACTAGGACATAACCGGCCTAAGTAAAATATGAAATGCGTTCCAAATTTTGAAATACCACGAAGAGCAAAGATGACAGGAGGAACCTTACTTCGTGGCGCCCGGGTAGCTCAGACAAAGCTCGTAAGTGGATCCCAGCCGACAGGGAGACAGTAATGTAAAGACTGGGAAAGGACCCGGGCAATGATAACAGACCAGGAAGAGGGCTCAGGTAATGGGCACTGGCACTGGGCTGCACCGGAGGTGGTTTTGGGTAGTAAGTGGGCAGTTTCTCAGGCTTACATGTCTGTTTCTCTGCAGCTCAGGGGCTCCCTTGAAACAGCCATGAAGGAGATAATAGAACGTATTTCCCTGAGCTTTACACTGAGGTCTGATTGACAAAGAAATGCCGTATCTAGTTAGGTTGCACGGTAAATATATTGCATATATTTAGACTTCTTTTGGTGTACAATGAGATGACTGAATACATGTGCATCTTGTGGAATGATTATCTCGGTCAAGGTAGCACATGGAGCTCTCCCATGGATACCGCTTTTAATTCCGTTATTTTGTGTGCGTGATGAGAGCATGTAAGATCTGCCCTCGAAGCAAATTCCAAGGTCACAATACAGTCATGTTATCATCACCACACTCCTGGTGGTGGCAAAATGACACATTATCAAAGGGTGGCTCAGTGGTTGAGCATCGACCTATGAACCAGGAGGTCATGGTTTGATTCCTGGTCAGGGCACATGCCTGGCTGTAGGCTCAATCCCCAGTAGGGGGCAATACAGGAGGCAGCCGACCAGGGATTCTCTCTCATCATTGATGCTTCTCTCTCCTCCTCTCTCTTCTTCTCTGAATCAATTAAAATATACATTTTTAAAAAGGGTACAAACTTTCAGCTGGATGATGCATACATGTTGGGGAATATCATGTGCACGTTTTTTTGCTTTGTTTTGTTTTTTTTTCTTATAGAGAACGTTTATCTTGTAACAAAATGCCTTACGCTGGCGAGGGTCAGGACAGGGGACTTCGAGGGGAGCAGCAGGGCCCCAGGCTGAGGGGCCCTGTGCCTGGTGCAATGGGGTCACCATCCAGAGTTATTCCTTTAGAACCACAGGCACCTTTTTTCATTCTGCACATGGCCCTGCGTGCGGACTGTGCACGTAGGGCCCATGGTCCATGAAGTCATTGTGGTCCCTGTGCTCGAAAAGACTTCTTGTTGGGAAACAAATGAAACGGTGATTCTCCGAGACACGCTTTCCCCTTCCCCCGTGTGCTTTTGCTCAGATTCGCCGCCTCTCCACCCGGAGCTTCCTACCGTCGGCGCGCAGCATCAGCGGCGTCGGCGAGCCCAGCACCCGGGCGGCGGTCACCGCGCTCGTCACCACACACGTGTAGTTGCCCACGTCGGATGGCTCCACCTTGGCCACGTAGAGGTGGCCCGTCTCCTGGGAGATGAACCTCCGGCCGTCTTCCTCCACGAAGGACGGGTATTCGTTGAAGATCCACGCGTAGGAGAGCTCTAATAGGAGTTTGGGGAGAAAAGCATCCCGTTAAGAAGGAACGTTCTCCCCATGAAGAACGCACAAAGCACCAGTGTTTCACGTGCAGGTCACCGAGAGAGGGCGTTATGGGGCCCCTCGGCGTCCACTCTGGGCTGAGAGGGAGGACCCCCTGTGCAGCATTCTTTTCCTTATTGGTTTTGTTTGTGAATCCTCACCTGAGGATATTTTTTCCACTGGTATTTAGAGAGAGTAGAAGGGAAGGAGGGAAGGTGAGGAAGGAGGAGACAGAAGAGAGAGAGAGAATCGTTGATGTGAGAGACACAGTGATTACCCCTTGCACGCTCCCCGCCCAGGGCCCAGGACTGAATCACAACTGACACTCAATGTACCCCCTGCAAACCCCTGACCTTGAAGGGAGTCGAACACGGGGACTTTTAGTGCATGGACCAACGCTCTTAGCACTGGGCCACGCCTGCCAGGGCTGATCAGCATTCTTTTTTTTGAAAAATTTTTTTTATTGATTTGCGAGGAAGGGAGAAGGATCGAGAAACATCAATGAGAGAGAAACATGGATTGGCTGCCTTCTGCATGCCCCCTCCACCCCCTGGGGATCGAGCCCACAACCTAGGCATGTGGCCTGACTCAGAATGGACCATGACCTCCAGGTGCATGAGGCGAAGCTCAATCCACTGAGCCACACGGCCAGGCCTTCCAGTGGCAGCAGGTACCGGTGTCAATGTCATTGCCCTTCCAGCCCCCCAGAGGCCTGCCCCGGTGGGAGCATTAGAAAACCACGTGATGTACTGCATTCTGATACAGTATCACACACCCGCTGTCTGACCATCGGAGGATAAAATCTTGCCTTGGCGGTAAACACCAGTTGTATCCCGCCCAATACAATCCACGCCAGGCCAGCAGCCTTCTTTGGAGACTTTCCCATGTAACTTCACGTCTGATGGTAAACACAATGCTACACCGGAAATGGTCCCGTTACATCCTCAGACCAGCTGGATTCTACAGAAGCTCTCATGTAAATCACAAACTCGAATCTAAAGCCACCTGGCCAGGGTGCCTTCCGGTCACAACGCTATGTGCACAGAGGGACGGGAGACGTTTTTTATTAGAGAACACAGGGTTTTGCTCTCCAAGCCACGCTCCTCCTCTTTCTTATTTCCATCTTTTCCTCCCGCACCCCTCCCTGGCCCTGGTCCCTCAGCCTGGTCTGTGCCCTCCTGCAATCTGGGATCCCTTGGGAGATAGTGGAGAGCTAGTTTCTGCCCGATCCCACAGGCCAGGCTGAGGGTCCCATGGGTGCAGGAATGGGTGCACCAGGCCTCTAGTAAGTATGTAAGTTCTTTGTTTTATCTCTTCTCGTCCCCCCATCCCCACATCGAGGTAGGTCAGTCTGTCCCATGCCTCCCTGCTTCCGGTCTTATTTTGTTCACCCGTAAGTGACATCATGGGACACCTGTCTTCCTCAGATTGCCTTGTTTCACGGAGCATAATTTTTTTTCTCTTTTTGAGGAACCCCCGTAGACACAGGTGGGGTGTGCACCTGCAGGCCAGCCGTGCCCTCTGCCCCGGGGCACTTTCCCCATCACTTAGGTGGAATAATGCAACTTCCATGCCTTCTGTGTCAGCAGACGGCACTTTCTTTTTAAGTGCAGCCTGAGAGAAGGTAAAGAGCCTTGCCAGCCCTCTGGAGTGCTAATTGCAGCCAATTATCGTTTGATTGATCTGCCTTGCTATTAAAATGATATGCAGAATTTACCTGCTTGCAGAGTGGAAATTTCCTTCAGCCCAGTCTCCTGGAGGACGCCCACACCTAATGGGCCCAGCGCGGGTGCTCTGGGGTTATAATTCCCGCATCATCACTCAGAGCGAATTACAGGCCTGCTTCCTGGGGTCGCCAAGGCCGCAAATAGCTCACAGGCGGGGACACGGGCCGTGACCCGCCTGGAATAATGAAGGGCTGGCGGCCACCGCGCAGCACCCTGACCCGCCCCTTCCTCACCGGGTCTCGCTTCTTTTATGAAAATTTAACCTTGTTCTTAAAGGATGTCCTGGGGGCTGGATATGTCTCTTTTTGCCATGTGAGTGATTTTTTTTTATTTTTAAGAAGAATAAAATGTCCATTTTCACTGGTAAACAGAAATGAGGTTTTCAGTAGAAGAAGAAATCACCTGACAAATCAGAAATGTGTTCTTACTGGGAACAGTAAATGAGTCCTCAGAAAGCCATTGAAATTAAAGTTTCTCTCTCCCTCCCTCCCCCCCCCCCCCTCTCTCTCTCTCTCACACACACACACACACACACAGGACAAGTACTCCTGCTCACCATTAGCTTATCAAACCATTCATCAAAAACAGTTAAACAGCCCTGCCAGTGTGGCTCAGTGATTGAGCGTTGACCTATGAACCAGGAGGTCACGGTTCAATTCCAGGTCAGGACACCTGCCCACGTTTCGGGCTCCATCCCCAGTTGGGGGTGTGCAGAAGGCAGCCGATCAACGACTCTCAATCATCATTGACGTTTCTCCTCTCTCTCTCCCTCTCCCTTCCTCTCTCTGAAATCAGTCAAAATATATTTAAAATAAATAAAGTTGTAAGAGCACCAGCTCCTTTTATATTTTTATTTTTGGCCATGAGAAGAGCATCTTGGAACAGTGACTACAGCCCTTGCCACAGGGAGGCGGGGCAGGCGGGGCGGAGAGAGAACCCGTGTGTGCCAGGCCCTGCACACGATGTCCCCTCCTGTCCTCACACCATCCTCAGCTTAGAGGAGTCACCCGTTTTACTGGCAGGGTTCCCGAGGCCGCAAGGCTGCCTGGGAGCTCACACCTGCACACCTGCGCCCCGCCTCTGCACACCTGCGCCCCGCCTTGCACACCTGCACCCCGCCTCTGCACACTTGTGCCCAGCCTCTGCACACCTGCACACCGCATCCTCACTCACGTGGACTCCCTGTGTGCCCTCGCTTACCCCTCATTCCGAGCTCTGCCCCATGTCCCAGGGACGACAAAGCCTGAAGGCCTCCTCTGGCTCCGCAGCCCAGTCCCAGAAGGAAGCCCGATGCTGCCCAGGGGCTCCTGCGAGAGGTGCTGAAGTTCCGGGAACAGCAGGCAGCAGCTGGGAGCCCCCCCCCCCCCCCGTTCAGAGCTGCGCCTCTCAGGGGGAATGGCACAGGGTGTCCCAGGCCACCACCTTCCAAGGGACTGAGCTGTTGGAAACAAACCTGTGGCCTGTGAGCCCAGCTCCGACTCCCAGCGGCTCCGGAACCCGCCTGGGTGGGAGCGAGGCCCGGCGCCAGGCTCTGTTCCCGGGTTTGACTAAAACAGAAGGAAAATGCTGAACAGCCCAACCGCCCGCTGGCGTTTCCCACTTCCTCTCTCTGCCCAGGCTGCTCGTTTGGAAACAAGGAAAGGCTGTGGGTGCCAGAGTGATGGTTTGCAGTCCCACTCCCCCGTCTCCACGTGGATGCTCTCCCCCAGGCCCAGGGCACCTGGAGCCGCGCTGGGAAACAGGGAAACGCATGCTCAGCCCCTTGGGAAGCCAGCCGGGCCTCTCCCGGGCAGGTCCCCCCACGGGGAGCAGACACCCCCACTGCGAATCCCACCAGGAGGAGGCTGGCAATGAGGGCCCAGCCAAGTCAGACCTCAGTGCTCAGACACCAGAGAGGGCTGGTGGCGGTTAGGATACAGGCCAGGGAGGCGGCGCGGAATCACAAAGGAGGCTCTGAACATGTTTCCTCCCCCATCTCCCTCCACCCCATCTTAGTCTCTCCACCACCACCCATCTGTCAAGTTCTACTGAGAACCCAGTCCCAGCCGTGAACTACTGGAAACATGTCTCAGCGGAGCAATCGGGCACGGAACAGCCTGTAACAGGACGGAGGAGCTTTAATAACTTGGGTTGGCAGCCCCATGAAACAGGACCCTTGGGATGCGCACTGGCTTTGGCTGCCCACAGGGTCCCCGCTTTGTCTGCTGCGCATTTCCTGGGGTGGGGGAGGCTGGTGCCGTCTCAGGTTACGGAAGACAGGAAGCACCATGCCACTGGAAGGACTGGACCGAAGGACCGATGCTCAGAGTGTGGGCCTCCTGTGGGCTGGGAGGCAGTGAGTCCCGCTCAGCATCAGGACCGAGACCACCCTCAGCCAGCCACTCCCTCTGCGCTCGGTGTTCCCATCTGTGAAATGGGAACACGAGACTTCCCGGGGCTGCGGCAAAGCTGACATCAGTGGGACGTCTCAGTGGCACGCAGCAAGTGCTCGGAGAACATCGCTGTGATCACAGTTGACGGGATGTTGCATTCCCCTGCTTAGATTCTTAAGGAAGACGCGACCCCTAAGCCGTCAGAACATTGTAAAAGCACAATCCGTGAACACTCCAGTAGCAGAGAGTGAACGGGCGCTGTCAGGGGGAGAGGACACCCAGGGAGGAGACCGCACCAGCCTGGTGCCCGGGTGAGTCATGGTAAGGGGCACGTCTGCTTACGACATAAGAGTCTCTATGATGGACCTCGCTCCCTATAATAACCATGGTGTCCCGTTATTCCTCTACCCTTGGAGCCCCGCTCAGGGTGGGGAGGAGACGGGAGCCTGGGGAGTTACGTGACCCAGAGGCACCGGGGGAATCTCAGAAAGTCACGATGCCGGCCGCCATCACGGGACCAAAATGGTGCCCCTGTTTGAGAGACTTCCACCTGGGCCTTGAAACGGTTAAACGCCTGCAGAACGACGTGTCTAATTAAGAGGTGTCAGTACGCTTCCTACCGAGGAAAGATCCTCCAAATTAACACCAGGCTCGCCTCCCCGCCTTCAAAGACCCCATTACTTTCCCTTTTAACTCCCCGCTTGCTAGTCTTCAAACAGAAGGTGTTCCATTGAGCAGATGGGGCCCTGGCGCTGGGAGCCCCGGGGGCCCGGCCGGCCGGGGTCGCGCGGGAGCCGGCTGTCTCTGCTGCTCTTTCAATTAGGATCCGCAGCCTCGTCATTAACACGTTTCCCTCGCCTGCAC